GTATATATATATATATATATATATATATATATATCGGTATATATAATTTTACATGTATTTTTAGACATATTTATAAAATATATTTTAGACAATTATATAATATATAACAGTAACATGCATGCATCTCATGTTGTTTTCAGGCAATGTGTTGGCCACCCTGAATGGTAGCGTGTTGGACAGTCCATCAGAGTCTCAGGGGTCCTCAGCCCCGACAGACACAGAAGCACAGAGCGTTCAGAACGTGCTGGTGCTGAGTGGAGGAGAAGGTTATATTGACTTCCGTATCGGTGAGAAAAAATGAACAGACTAAATTAGCATGTTTGTTTGGTCATATAACCAATAATAGCATTTACTCATTCTCTTTTCTCAGGTGATGGGGAAGATGAGACAGAGGAAGCAGATGGTGAAGCTCCTCAGATGAAGCCAGCGTTGTCTAAAGCAGAGAGGAGTCATATCATCGTGTGGCAGGTGTCTTATGGTCCGGAGTGACATGAACAGACGCCTCCTGCCTGCCCCCCTTTCCGCCCTATAAGTCCGCCCCCAAAGACGAAGTATGAATCCTTTCTGTAACTATGCCCCGAATTGTGTACCTAAGCTATGTACCTTCCACAGCCTTGTAACTACCCCTTTAAAATCTTATATTCACCCCGTTAACCTGTATTTTCCTACCCTCAATTATAACTACCTGTACGATCCTTCAATCCACCTTATAACATTCCCTTCCCAACAAAAACACACAAAGTTCAAGAACTTCCTGCATCTTATGACTGAATGGCAATTTTAAATGAAATATAAACAGTTTAAATCCAGTACCAAACTACGTTCCTGAAAGAACTACCCAGTTTTTGCCAAAAACCCTGACCTTTATTTTTACAGTCCGTCAGCACACAGCTCACTGAATGACAGGAACTCATCATGAACTCAAGTGACTTCAGAGATGAGAAGATTCATTTTGGAAGAACCAGCTAGATGTGTAATGGAATACAAGAGGGAAAATGCAAATAAAACCTCAATATGTAAATACTGGAAAGCATCATGGACTGCAGAGAGAAATAAGAGTGAATACTTGAGGATAATCAAATAAGTGGTCAGGATTTGTTGGCTAGCTAGCACAATCCAAATATGTCCCAATGCCATTTCAGCTCATTATTACGTAAATATGTAAAAGAATATTCAACAAAACTGATTTAAAAAGCTCAAATTCACTTCAACCATTTGCAGCTACCCATTTTTCAACCTCAGTGAGATGTGTGCTGACTAGCACTGCTAACTTCCCTTTGGGATTAAGAATGAGGTTAACAGCTGAACCGAAGCATTTGATTGGACGAGGTTTGGAAGTGATGGTCGTCCCAGTCGCCTTGTATGTAAATCATCACTCTGTGTTCTCTTTGTGGTTAAGTATTAAGAAATAAACACGTTTATGTGCTGAATACATCTGTCTTCAGCGCCATAATTTGTAGAAATGCTATCATAACAATGGTATTTTCCTTGAATTAGTAGATAGAGCAATACGTTACACAAATTTACACTTTATAGGAAAGGCAAGGCAAGTTTATTTATATAGCACATTTCATACACAATGGTAATTCAACGTTCTTTACATAAAAGAAATGAAAAAATTTTTAATAAAAAAAATCACAACAATAAAACAAGGAATTTAAAACTTTGAAAATGATTTAAAAATTGATTTAAGAGGTTTAAAATGAATTTAAAACAGTTAAGAATAGAAAATGATTATACATCAAATATAGTGCAATCAGTTCGGACATTGCACAGTGATCATTCAGTAAATGCACAGCTAAACAGATGAGTTTTGAGTCTGCATTTAAATGTGACTAATGTTTTAGCACATCTGATCTCTTCTGTAAGCTGATTCCAACTGCGGGCGGCATAATAACTAAAAGCGGACTCCCCTTGTTTTGTGTGAACCCTTGGTATTTCTAACTGACTCGATCCTAATGATCCGAGTGTAGAATATCTGCTATGTATTTAGGTCCTAGGCCATTGAATGATTTATAAACGAGTAAAAGTACTTTAAAATCAATCCTAAATATAACTGGAAGCCAGTGTAAGGACCTGAGGACTGGTGCGATATGCTCAGATTTTCTGGTTCTAGTCAGAATTCTGGCAGCAGTGTTCTGGATGAGCTGCAGTTGTTTAATGGTTTTCTTGGGAAGGCCGGTGAGGGGACCGTTACAATAGTCCACCCTGCTGGTGATAAAGGCATGAACAAGTTTCTCCAAGTCTTGACTGGAAACAAAACATCTAATTCTTGTAATGTTTTTTTAGATGATAGTATGCTGATTTAGTTACTGCTTTGACATGACTACTGAAACTAAGGTCTGTCTCCAGAATCACACCAAGATTCCTGACTTGATTTTTAGTTGTTAGACCCCTAGAGTCAAGGTATGCATTCACCTTGAGAACTTCATCTTTGTTTCAGAACCTCCTGCATCTTATGACTGAATGGCAATTTCAGATGAAATATAAACAGCTTAAACAAGTACCAAACTACGTTCCTGAAAGAACTACCCAGTTTTTGCCAAATACCCTGACCTTTATATTTACAGTCCGTCAGCACACAGCTCACTGAACGACAGGAGTTTGCCATGAACTCAAGTGACTTCAGAGATGAGAGGTATAATTTTTCTAGATGTGTAATGGAATACAAGAGGGAAAACGCAAAAGAGACCTCGATATGTAAATACTGGATTGCAGCATGGACTGCAGAGAGAGAAATAAGAGTGAATATTTGATGATTTGTTGGCAATCTAACACAACCCAAACATGTCCCAATGCTATTTCAATTCATTAAGTACATATGTAAAAGAATATTTAACAAAACTGATTTAAACAGCTCAAAATCCCTTCAACCATTTGCAGCTATCCGTTTTCCATTCTCAGTGAGATGTGTGCTGACTAGCTCTGCTAGCTTCCCTCTGGGATTAAGAATGAGGTTAACAGCTAAACCCAAGCCTTCGATTGGACGAGGTTTGAAAGAGATGGATGTCCCAGTCGCCTTGTATGTAAATCATCACTCTGTGTTCTCTGTGTGGTTAAGTATTAAGAAATAAACACGTTTATGTGCTGAATACATCTGTCTTCAGCGCCATAATTTGTAGAAATGCTATCATAACAATGGTATTTTCCTTGAATTAGTAGATAGAGCAATACGTTACACAAATTTACACTTTATAGGAAAGGCAAGGCAAGTTTATTTATATAGCACATTTCATACACAATGGTAATTCAACGTTCTTTACATAAAAGAAATGAAAAAATTTTTAATAAAAAAAATCACAACAATAAAACAAGGAATTTAAAACTTTGAAAATGATTTAAAAATTGATTTAAGAGGTTTAAAATGAATTTAAAACAGTTAAGAATAGAAAATGATTATACATCAAATATAGTGCAATCAGTTCGGACATTGCACAGTGATCATTCAGTAAATGCACAGCTAAACAGATGAGTTTTGAGTCTGCATTTAAATGTGACTAATGTTTTAGCACATCTGATCTCTTCTGTAAGCTGATTCCAACTGCGGGCGGCATAATAACTAAAAGCGGACTCCCCTTGTTTTGTGTGAACCCTTGGTATTTCTAACTGACTCGATCCTAATGATCCGAGTGTAGAATATCTGCTATGTATTTAGGTCCTAGGCCATTGAATGATTTATAAACGAGTAAAAGTACTTTAAAATCAATCCTAAATATAACTGGAAGCCAGTGTAAGGACCTGAGGACTGGTGCGATATGCTCAGATTTTCTGGTTCTAGTCAGAATTCTGGCAGCAGTGTTCTGGATGAGCTGCAGTTGTTTAATGGTTTTCTTGGGAAGGCCGGTGAGGGGACCGTTACAATAGTCCACCCTGCTGGTGATAAAGGCATGAACAAGTTTCTCCAAGTCTTGACTGGAAACAAAACATCTAATTCTTGTAATGTTTTTTTAGATGATAGTATGCTGATTTAGTTACTGCTTTGAAATGCCT